AAACACCAAGGGCACTGAGACAGTTAAATAGGGGAAGGGATAGTCTTGGTGTTGGCATAAGTGGTTATCCTCATGCAAAAGAATGAAACAACCCCTACCTCACACCATATACAAACATTAATTCAAACTGGGTCAAAGTCCTCAATATAAGATCTAAAACTATAAAACTCTTAGAAAAAAATCATAGGAATGATTCTTTATGAACTTGAGTTAGGTAATGAATCCTTAGATACCACGCCAAAGCATAAACAATAAAGGAAATATAGACAAGCTGGGCATCATGAAGATTAAAACTTTATGCTAAGTGAAAGACCAGTCACAAAATGCCAGATAATATATAGTTCCATTTATATGAAATGTCCAGAATAAGCAATCTGTAGAGACAGAAAGTAGATTAGTGGTTGCCTGGACGTGGGGTAGGGTAGAGGAAGTAGTGGGGAGTGACTGGTGATGGGCACAGTTTCTTCCGGGGGGAGATGAAAATGTTTTACAATATATTGTGGTGATGGATGAACAACTCTGTGAATATACTAAAATCCACTGAAGCTACACTTTAAATGGATGAGTTATATAGTATGTGAATTCTATCTCAACAAAACTGTTATTTACAAAAGGAAATTGTATATTTTAAAAAATACTGTGCAGCTTCCCTTGTGGCTCTGATGGTAAAGAATCCTCCTGAAATGCAGGAGACCTGGGTTCAATGCCTAGGTAGGGAAGATCCCCTGGAGGAGGGCATGGCAACCCACTCCATCCAGTAAGCTTGTCTGGAGAATCCCCATGGAAAGAGCAGCCTGGAGGGCTACAGTTCACGGGGTTGCAAAGAGTCGGACACGACTGAGCAACTAAGCATGCAGGCACGTGCTAACAACAATAAAAACTTTTGCAAACCCAATGCAGCTCATGGGTCATCCATTTGCAGCAGCGAATGGAAGGTTCAGAAGAACTGACCATATTAAATAGTATCAATATTTGTGTGTCTTTTGTCAAAATAATGAGTAGAGATACACACTGGGCTCCCCATTATCCATCCCCTAGGACACTGAGTCAAATCTCAAGTGCAATTTGTGTCTGAAAGTGAGCAGATGTTTTCTCTTAGAAGAAAACAGAAATGATTGTACACAGCATTTATTGTTTCTGCATTTGCTGCCAGGAATGTTTGCCACAAGTTCAGGGACAAGGTGTAGATAATAATCTGTGACTCTTGAAGCATGACCGACGGCGTCCGCTCTTCCCAAGTTCATACCTGGACTTGGTCTCTGCTTGGCTTGTTTGGGTTGGTTTAAGCTGTAAACTAATTCAAACCTTTCTACACAAGCTGTGTATACATTCCAAACACAGACCATCTATCACCCTGGAGGTGAAATCTGACAAGAGCAACATAAAGTTATTTATAGCATTTATTGATTTTAACTTGGCTAATGTCCCAGACTAGTTAGGTGATAAGACAGTACTCAACAAACTTCTGTTATTTACCTACCACTCACAGTTCTTGTTGCATGCAATACTATTGTTTAATCAATATTTTTTAATCAATTTCTCTCTTTTTTTTAAACTTACATGTACCTATGAACCTAAAGCAAAAGCCAGTGTCTCTTGCTTATTAACAGAAGATCCCTCTTAAAAAGAAGCCCAGTGAACACAGAAGGTTGTTGATACCAGATACGTTTGACTGAGCAAACTCCAGGAGATAGCAAAGGACACGGAAGCCTGGCAGCCACAGTCCATGGGGTGGTAAAGAGTAGGGCACAACTTGGCGACTCATCAACAACCACCATTGCCTGACAAGGCTCTGAGCTTGAGGTCTCATTGTTAAGCTGGGAGATTAGAGGGGCTTAGATGGATGGGCTTCCTTGGTGGCTCAGATGGAAAACAATCTGCCTGCAATGTGGGAGATCCCAGGTTTGATCCCCTGGAGAAGGGAATGGCAACCCACTCCAGTGTTCTTGCCTGAAGAATTCCATGGACAGAAGAGCCTGGTGGGCTTCAGTCCACGGGGACGCAGAGTTAGACACGACTGAGCGACTGACACTTTCACTTTCAGACGGATGTTAGTGACCTAAGACTTTCTTCTTGACCGAATCAGAATGGTTAATGGAGAATGCACGAGAGTAGATATTAGAGAGACCCTGGATCGATTTCTTCCACGACTTTTTGTTGGAGCCTAATGTGCTCTTCACCTCTTGGGCCTTGGGGTGCTGGACCATACAAGACAGACAAAGCCCCAGTTCTTTCCAGGTTTAGGGTTGTGGATTATAATATATAGGAATGAAGTAACATAAGAAGCACATTGCAGTGTTTGGACCATGGTAAATACTCAGTATTTTGATGTTATTCTCGTAGTTGTTATTATAATTATTATTACTTTATTATGCCAGAGCAGGCGGTGGCTCTCTGGAAAAAAGAGGGGTTGGGTTAGTCTGGGAACATCTGTCCTATAGCCATGATGGCCTGGAGAGGCACATGGAGTTTGAATCCCATCAGAGAGCAGAAACTGGAGTTAGCGAGTACAGCCCTTAGTGCTTTGGCCAGGAAGGTGAGGAGTGTTACTGTGTCAGGAAATTAGGTCAGCAGTGAGCATGCTTGGGTAAGTTTAAGATCTCTGTGTATATATCAAGGTCTGGCATCATTCGTTTCAGTATTCAGTGGTGTCCCAGGCATTGTGCTGGGCTTGCTGGGAATTCAACGCTGCTACCCTCAGGAGGCTTATGACGTCAAGAGAATTACAAGCCGCGGGACGAGTAAGTTTGACACAGAGTAGAATGAGGAGAATTTCTTTCTCGATTGGTTGCAAATGACAGACATCCAGTTTGCATCAGCATGAGTAAGAAAGAAAATGTACTGGTTCCCGTATCTGCTGAGTCCAGGAATAAATGGCCTCAGCAATGGCTGGATCCAGGTGTTCAAATGATGTTGTCAGAAATCTGTCTCATGGCTCTGCTTTCCCCTGTGTTAGCTTTCTTTTCAGGCAGTCTCCCCATTTGTGATGCCAAATACCACCGGCTTCATAGTCTTAGCTAAAAGGGAGGTTGCTTCCTCAGTTGGATGCATGCATGTTAAGTCGCTTAGTCACATCCAACTCTTTGCAACCCGATGGACTGTAGCCCACCAGGCTCCCCTGTCCAGGGGGAGGATTCTCCAGGCAGGAACACTGGAGTGGGTTGCCATGCCCTCTTCTAGGGGATCTCCCTGACTCAGGGACTGAACCCACATCTCCTTCATCTCCTGCATTGCAGGCAGATTCTTTACCCACTGAACCGCCTGGCAAGCCCACGCTTCCTCAGTCACTCCAGTATAAAGTAACAGAACTGAATTCCAATGGTCCACACTGGGGTCATGCGAGACCCCTGCCCCAGAGCTAGACATGGTGGCCTGGCCACCCACACCCACTGAGCCTGGGGGAGGGGTTCATGTGGGAACATCAGAGCCAGGAGAGGGGGTTCTGGGAATCAGGCACCACCCTGCCCACCGCAGAGCCCCCAGAGAGACAGAGGCTCTGAGAGGAGGGCAGGGGTCATGCCAGCCAGGACAACTTCACAAAGGAAGTTTGGCCTGTTGGGGCTCCAGGGATGGGGCTGAGGTGTTCCTGCAGCAGGTTCCAGCTCTGTAACTGGGAAGAAGGAAGGGGGAAGCAGGTATTTCCTGAGAAGCCATCATCTGCCAGGCTCTTTGACAAGTTTCTTGGTTAACATCCCAAGAACCCTGTCTACTCACACAGGTGGGAAATAGTCTCAGAAGGTTTACCATCGCTGGACGAACCTCAGCTAGCCCCAGTGCACCGGGGCCGCCCTCACCCCACTCCCGTCCATCTCCACCAAGCAGCTGGGCGGTCTCTTCACACTGCAGAGTTGACAGCGTCTCACCTCCGCTGAAACCCCGAGCCTCAGCATGGCCCACAAGGCCTTGCCCTCTGCCCACCACCACCCCTCTCCTGTCCTCCCCTTCAACTCCTCCAAGAACTCACTCTGAGATTTAGCAGGAGTGATATTTATTTGTAACAATGGTAGCTGACGCTTAGGTGCCAGGCCTTAATCGACACTGTGTTTTCATTCATTTCAGTCTTCACAGCAACCCTGTGAGGTGGGGACCATTATTATCTCCATTTTATAAGAGGAGGAAACTGAGCCACTGAGAAAGTGATTTGCTCAAAAGTCACATAGCTAGAAAGTAGCAGAGCCGAGATTCAAACCCAGGCATTTCGCTCCAGAGTCCTCATTCTTAACCACCACCATCTCCTGCCTCTGAGCACTCAGGGTCCCCATCCTTCCTGTCACATTTCCTAACTACGCATTCTGATGGGGTATATGATTGACGTCTGTCTCAGCACCAACAGCTGCTGGAAAGGTCGCCAACATACTGAGCACTTGGTCTGTGCTGGGCACTGTGTTTAGCACCTTTTAGGCATCAGTCAATTTCACCCTCTCACAATTGTGTAAAAACTAGGTACAGTTGTCCATTTTGCACACAGAGAACCTAAGAAGTTGAGGGTTTAAGTAACTTATCCACCAAGCTGGAAATTCCCAGAGGGAAGAAACCATGTCCATTTTGTTCATCATTGAGTTCAGAGGGGCTAATTAAGTGCCTGGCATTCAGTAGGCACTTAATAAAGGTTTTGGGGTGGGCGCTAGTGGTAAAGAACTCACCTACCAATGCAGGAGTTGTAAGAGATTCAGGTTTGATCCCTGGGTTGGGAAAAGCCCCTAGAGGAGGCCATGGCAACCCACTGCAGTATTCTTGCCTGGAGAATCCCATGGACAGAGGAGCCTGGTGGGCTACAGTCCATGGGGTGGCACAGAATCAAACACGACTTTAGTGACTTAGCACACAGCTGGCTGGATGATAAATGGCCAGACGGAAGGGAGGGAGGTGGGGAGGAATGGAGAGAGGGCCAGCCTGCCTGTCTCCAGTGCCCATGCTCTGGTCACAACTGGGAGATCCTGGGACATGAGGCTGGCGTGGTATCTGACATGGCTCTCACGGCTGTCTCTGCAGGAGCCATGATGCACGTGAAGAAGTACCTGCTCAAGGGTCTGCATCGGCTGCAGAAGGGCCCTGGCTACACATACAAGGAGCTGCTGGTGTGGTACTGTGACAACACCAACACCCATGGCCCCAAGCGCATCATCTGCGAGGGGCCCAAGAAGAAGGCCATGTGGTTCGTGCTCACCTTGCTCTTCACCTCCCTCGTCTGCTGGCAGTGGGGCCTCTTCATCAAGACCTACCTGAACTGGGAGGTCAGCGTCTCCCTCTCCATCGGCTTCAAGACCATGGACTTCCCCGCCGTCACCATCTGCAACGCCAGCCCCTTCCAGTAGGTGGTCCCTGGAGCACAGCTGGTCTCAGCCGGGCTGCTTCTCCTCTTTTCCTTCCTTCCAGCTTTCCTTCCTTCTTTCCCATTTCCTCCTTTTTCTCTCTAACTCTTTCCCTCTTTGCAGCAAGTAAGATTCAAAATCCATAAACCTCCTCGGCTTACAAAGAACCTCCAAAAATACCTGGTAGTCCCTTCAGTCACACTAGTGCCTGTTTATTGACTCAATGTGTGTTTATTGAGCACCTACTATTGCCACCTACTACTGGGGCTTCCCCTGTGGCCCAGATGGTAAAGAATCCACCTGCAATGCAGTCTTGATCCCTGGCTCGGGAAGAACTCCTGGAGAAAGGAATGGCTACCCACTCCAGTGTTCTTGCCTGGAGAATTCCATGGACAGAGAAGCCTGACAGGCTACAGTCCATGGGGTCATAAACAGTAGGACACAGCTGAGCAACTAACACACTACTATTGCCAGGCACCGTATGGGCACCAGGAATACATCAGTAACTAAAACAGTGCCTCCTGTCCTCATCACAGCCTCCCAGAGAAAACAGACATTCATCTTTTCTTCCATAAATATTGAAATCATTCTCATTGTGAGGATTAAACTGGACCTGTATCCAGGGTTTAGTGCCCTCTCCTACAGGAAGTCCTCCAGCCATCTATAGCAACCATGCATTGAGTGCATTTTGTAATATTGCCTAAATGCCAGGTAATATGTTGAGTGTTCTTTGGATAATTCATGTCATTCTAATCCATACAACTACTCTGGGGGGGAGGGCACTACTCTAGTAGCCCCAGTTCACAGGTCAGGAAATGGAGATTCAGAGAGGTGAGGGAACTTGCCCAGTGACACACAGTGAGCAACTGTGGAATTTGAATCTAGGTCTGATCTGACTCCAGAGCTGCCACTGTTTAACCACTGGATGGCAAGGCCTAGGAAGGAGACACCCAAGGAGACCCAGCCTAGTCGGTTGAGGAAAGGCAGGGGGTCAGTCACAGAAAAATACCCCAAGAAATGAGTAGACGTTAGCCAGGTGGAATGAAGAGAGTGCTCCAAGTGGAGGACATAGCACATGCAGAGGTCCTGGGGTAAGACAGAGCTTGGTGCATTCAAGGGGTTGAAAAATGAGCCAGCATGTCTGAGTCACAGGAAACATCTTTGTCCAAAAGGAGGTCCTGGAAGGCAAGTCATCCTTCCTGGTTACATTTCCAGGTATCAGAAATTCACCTCATTCTGATCATAGGGCTGTTCTTCCTTGCTTGGGTGGGTCTTTGAAGCTACTCAAGAAAACTCTTAATAATTACAATAACACACCCTGTTTTATAAGCATCACCCTATTGAATCCTCCCAAAATCTTCTAGGGTAAATGTTTTAATCCCCCGCTATTTCATAGATGAGAGAACAGAGCCTCAGAGAAGTTAACCTACCCAGGGTCACACAGATATTAAGTGGCATGCTGTGCTGTGTTTAGTCACTCATTTGTGTCCCACTCTTTGCAACCCCATGGACTGTAGCCCAGCAGTCTCCTGTCCATGGGGATTCTCCAGGCAAGAATACTGGAGTGGGTTGCCATGCCCTTCTCCAGGGAATCTTCCCAACCCATGGATCAAACCCAGGTCTCCCGCATTGCGGGCAGATTCTTTAACATCTAAGCCAGCAGGGAAGCCTAAGAATACTGGAGTGCGTAGCCTATCCCTTCCTCCAGGGGATCTTGCTGACCCAGGAATTGAACCAGAGTCTCCTGCATTGCAAGCGGATTCTTTACCAGCTGAGCTACCAGGGAAGCCCATTAAGTGGCATGCTGGAATTCAAACCCAAATCTTACCAAGCTTGACAGCAGCTGTGGACACCCAGGCTATAATAGCAGCCCCCACCCTACAGCCCAGCACCTTCCCTGTCCTCCTCTCCCTGTGTGCACAGAGGTGGCTGGTCTACCGATCAGGGGACAGGCAGTGTCAGCATCTGCAACTGATGTCAGCTCTGGCTGCTGTCCACCTTTGTACCAGCACTTTGGGCCTATATCCAGGGTTTAGTGCCCTCTCCTACAGGAAGTCAGAGCTGACACACACCACCCTAGAGACCACACTCTGGGCAGGGTCTTGGATAAATTGGGTTCTGGAGAGACCGGGGTGCAGGGCTTGGAGCCCCCCCACTCAGGGCCTGGTGGGAACACTCCCTGGGGTGGACACATTTCTGATGGACTGACTGGTCACCATTTCCCATATGGGAACCTCAGGGACTGAGAAGATCCTGGATCCCAACCCCACAGTCTTCTTCCTGCTGAAACTGGCTCCTGTTCCCCAAATTGCTGCTGGAGATTTAGGACCTCAGGGTCACAGACCTCCCCTCTCCCAATATTATACCCCTCCTGGGAGGAAGAAGTCCGAACCCCTTGCACCCACAGCATACCACCTGGGGCCCACCAAACCCAGGTTCTCAGCTCTGCGCCTTCATCATTGGGGTGAGCTCAGGAAATCACAGCAACTCCTAGAATTTCTTTATCCACATGTGGGGGTGATTATAAAATTTTATTTATAAATTGACTAAAAGAAGATGCAGGGAATACCTAGCACCTGGTACATGGTGAGTGATCAATAAGTGTGAACTCTTGGGACTCTGTCTCAGTAGCATGTGAATTTCTTAGGGAAAGAGACCCAGTCTGTCCTGTTTGCTATAATATCTCTGTGCCTTGCACATAGTATAATAACCTCTGTGTACTTGGCACATAGTAGATACTCACCAAATACTGGGTGAAGAATGAGTGAGCAGGTGGTGGAAGGATGCACGGACGCATGGGTGGGTGGGTCGAGTGGTGGGTGCTGGGGGCAGGGAGGAGCAGCCTTCTGACACGTGGTGGCAGCCACGCTGGGGTAGGAGGGGACCCCAGACTACGGTCGCTCTGCTCTGCAGCTGCCCCTTGCCCCCCTGACTGGCCCTCTCCCCCACCCAGGTACTCCAAAGTCCAGCATTTGCTGAAGGACCTGGACGAACTGATGGAGGCAGTCCTGGAGAGGATCCTGGGTCCCGAGCTCAGCCAGTTCAATGCCACCAGGACCCTAAACCTCTCCATCTGGCACCACACGCCCCTGGTCTTTATCAATGAGCAGAACCCCCACCACCCGGTGGTTCTGGACCTGTTTGAGGACAACTTCAATGGCTCAGCAAGCAGCAGCCCGGCACCAGGAAGGCCCTGCAGCGCCCACAGGTGCAAAGTAGCCATGAGACTAGTAAGTGGGTTCCCCTCCCCAGGCACGGGTCAAACAATGGGCCCTCTCCAGTGAGTCCGATGGGAGTCTCTTTCCTTAACTAATCTGGGTCTTGGCTAGGGGAAAGCTGGAGCCAGGGCCCGTTTTGTATGTTTACATACAATTTTTTACATTTATTTATTTGGTTGTGCCGGGTCTCAGTTGTGGATTTTTGATCCTCATTGCAGCATGTGAGATCTTTAGCTGGGGCACGTGGGATCTAGTTCCCTGACCAAGGATCAAACCGGGCCCCTGTTATTGGGAGTTCAGAGTCTTAGCCTCTGTATCAGCAGGGGAATCCCAGCTATTTTTAAATTAGCAATAGTTAGTATGTTACTCAAGATGCTACTGGATGCCAGTGACCCAGTTCCAACTAGCTTAAGTAAAACAGGGAATTCTTTAGTTCACAGACTGAGAAGGCCAGAGGTGGATTGAGTGAAGATGTGGCTGGATCCAGGTGTTCAAATGCTGTCATCAGGAGTCCCTCTCTGCACTTTGGTTTAGCTTTTCTCTCAGTTGACTTTGCTCTCTGGCAGGCTCCCTCCATAGGGAAGGCTCTGGAAATACCAGATATATCCCGCCAGCTTAGCGCTCTCCCCAGACACAGAGCTCTTCTTTCCTGAATGCCCCAGCGAACATCCTGGGACTGGGCATCAGGTCACATGCTCAGCCCTAAACCAATCACTGAGGGCTGGAGGATGGACTTTCATGATTGGCCAGTCCTGGGTCACGTGCCCTGGAGTTGAGGGTGACGTCAGCCTCTATCAGACCACATGGACTGAGCAAGGGGGAAGGGGTGGGTGGCTTCTGAAGAAGGAATTAAGTCTTATTATCAGAAGACAGGGACATAAATATTGGGCAGGTAGAAAACCACAGCTATGCTGTACACTCATTGCCAAAGCATAACTGGACTGCTGGGATGCCCGAGAGCCTGCAGGTGGAAAGAAGGTTCGCTGTCCATACCTCGGATCCCTGGGGGCCCTGTAACTACACTGATCCGTGGGCCTGACTCCTGGAGAACGTGAAAGGGCAGTTCTGGGCCCAGACCCAGGAATCTGTCTTGTTAATGGGCTTCCCGGTGATTCTGATGATCTCCTTTGGTTGGGGACCGAGGCTGGGGCTCTACACTCCCCACTGCCTCCCATACACCATATGTGGTCAGGATCTTCCCCCATCAGAGAGGGAGGGCAGAACCTAAAGTCTCAAGTCTTTCATGGTCCACCCGGCCTCCAGGGGGCTGCCTCTGGATGCCTGGGAGGGGCTGGGAGTGGAGTTGCGGGAGTGGAGGGTCAAGTGTGTCTGCTGCTCACGTGTCCACATGAGCATGAGTGTGGGGCCACTTGTGTGACTCTAGGCATGTGGACACGTGTGTATGTAGTTGTGACACCAGGACATTGTGTGACTGCAGGTGTCAGAGAGGGGTGTGTCTTTGTGGACCTGACTGTGTGGATGTGTGTGCAAGTAGGTTGGCTCAGGCCTGAAGCCATGTTATATGGGGGTGACTGGTGCTGTGTGTATGTGAGTGGACAACCCAAGCCTTGTGACTCTGAGTGCCAACATACTGCCCACTGGCCCAGCTGCTGGCCACCCCGGCAGCAAGGTGCCACCTGAGGAAGGGCAGCTGGCAGCACCCTCGCTGCCCTGGCTTTCAGGGTGGGGGGCCCTGCAGCAGCACCCCCCTCCACAGGAACCCCTCTCACTCCCCCACCCCCACCCCCTGCAGTGCAGCCACAATGGAACCATGTGCACCTTCCGGAACTTCAGTAGCGCCACCCAGGCCGTGACGGAATGGTACACCCTGCAGGCCACCAACATCTTCGCACAGGTTCCAAACCAGGAGCTGGTGGCCATGGGCTACCCCGCTGAACGGCTGATCCTGGCCTGCCTGTTCGGGGCAGAGCCCTGCAACTACAGGTGAGAGCCACTGGACCCCCCAAGGCCAGGGTCCACATCCTGGGTCCACACCCCAACTTGGCACCCTAATTGTCTGTACCCTGCTGTCTTCCGTTTCTTAGAGGGAGTCAGAAAAGGATGTGCTGACGGCCTCATCACTTCATGAGAGCATTGCTTTAGGGAAAGTCTGTAGGGAAAGAGGACTGCGCTAGGGGAGGATGTGGCCTCAGGTGACATCTAAGCCAGGTGTCATCCCCGTAAGCTGCAGCGCAGAGCTGTCCTCCCTTATGCGGGGGGCCCATCAGTCATTCCCTGGGTGTGTGCCACCCCCAGGAGCATGGGCTGGGGGTCTCCTAACTTCCCAGGCAAGGAGGTTGGAGAAGGGGCAGCCTTGAGCTGTTAGCCTCCAACACCCAGCCATCTACTGCCCTCAGTTTTCTCATCCCTAAGATGGGACAATAACCGTATCTGTGTCTCATGTAGAGTAGATGAATTGGCTCATATCAGCGCCTAGAACAGGGCCCTAGAAGCCTTTGTCATAAACACCCTTTCCCCAAACAGCCCCAGAGTTGAGAAGAGGGCAGGATGAGGGCAGCATTAACTCTGAAACCGTCCTCTTCCACGTGGTCCACAGATCTCCACCTCCTTCCCCACCGCCCCCACCCCCTCCAGCTTCTGACCATCCAGACCCTGGGTCTGAGCCCCCAGCTCTGTCCCCAACTCTCGGACAGACTCGACGGGCGGGTCACTTGGGAAGGGAGGCTGGGCACAGGCAGGTGAGCAGCTGAGGCCCCAGTGCCCCCTCCTGGCCTCGTGGCAGGCCTCCAGGTGTAGTGGCCACCCCCCGCGCCCCACTGCCCCGAGTCCAGCCCCGGCCTTTGGCCGGCCCCATTTCCCTGAGATGCTGGCGCCCTCCTGGCTTGGGGCTTCAGATTCCCACACTTAGGTCTCTGGAGAAAGGGACTTTTTGCCAAGTCTTGCCAAAGACTTTGAACAAGTGACAGGCTACCAGTTTCAACCTCCCGGGGACTGTGGCCTCAGCCCGCATCAGTCAGCTCATGAACCCTCAGGAACCTCTGCTGAGAATCTGCTGATTCTGTCCCCCAGAAAGCACAGGCGCAGGGCAGGTGTAGGTCGTGTCAAGGAGTCAAGGCCCCCTGAGCAGGCAGAGCTGCATGCCTGATCCTTTGTGAGAATCAGAGAAGGAGGGACCTACAGGTGGAAGAGCTGCATGCCGGCCCCCCACCGATGCCCCACGTCCTCGCTGGCTGGTTGCAGGCTGGGTTCCAACCCCTCTCTCTGGGCGAGGGGACTTGCTTCAGAGCCTACCTTCCCCACCACTCCTGGCAGCCTGCCTTGAGGTTGTGGGTACCCAGTAAATGAGGTCTGTGCCTGTAAGTTCATCTTTACCCTCACAGCTAAGAGAGAGGTGTAATACGGTGATTTAAAACATATGGTTTATCTGCTCAGTCAGAATATGCCCTGAAGTGTGAATAAGTTGAAAAAGTGGGATCTGTTAGGATCCACTGGGTTCCTGGCACTTTGTGTGAGCACTTCATAGTGGGATCCCAGGGCTCTAAGATGTGTGTTCTGCACACAGCACGGTCCCTAAACAGAGCCCCCGGCGACTTCCTGGCCTGATCGAGGGCGGGAGGCAGCCTGGGGATGGCCTCCATGTTGCCAAGATGGCGCCCTCCAAATGGAGCCCTATTTGGGTCAGATGACTGAGAAGGTGGCTGACGGGCAGGCAGCACCCAGTGTTGGCCATAACTGTGTGGTGTGGCTGTGACTGGGGAATAAATCTAGTGAGGTGGTCAAGGCTGGACTCTGCAGTTAGACCACTGAGTTCAAATCCTTGCTCTGTCTTACCAATTGTGTGGCTTCTTAACCTTGATATGCCTCCATTTTCCTCCTGCATAAAATAGGTAATAACAGTGCCTGCTCTGTGTTCATGTGCATGCGTGCTCAGTCATGTCTGACTCTTTGCGGCCCCTTGGACTGTAGCCCGCCAGGCTCCTCTGTCCTTGGGATTTCCCAGGATAGAATACTGGAGTGGGTGCCATTTCCTCCTCCAGGGGATCTTCCCGACCCAGGGATCGAACCCATGTGTCTTATGTCTCCTACATTGGCAGGCAGGTTTTTTACCACTGAGCCACCTGGAAAGCCCATGTACTGGGTTCTTTGGAATATTAAATGAGTTAATGTGCATGACAGGCTGACAGTCACGCATAGTAACTCAGTATTACTCTCATTAAACCCACATTTGACAAGGAACTCATTCTTCAGTAATGATGCTAACGTTTACTGCACCCTTCTTATGTCCGGGCGCTATTCTTAGCACTTTACATGTATAAAATCAGTCAGTCTAACTCTGGCAACAAGCCCTTCTTTTATATGATACAGCACTGCTCAGAGAGGTTAAGCAACATCTCTGAGGTCACACAGCTGGTGAGTAGCCAAGTGGCAGTCTGAGCCAGGCCCACCTGGAGTCACCTCATCGCCTCATCAGAAATCGAGATCATCTTCCTTCCCCACCTACCCGTTTCTTCAGCCCTTGGCAGTTTCTTGGCACAGAGACCGTAGTCCACCCATCTCCATGCTGCTTCTAACCCTACTGGTTTCCCATCTTCCTGAATTAGCCTCAGACTCAGCGCCAGAGGACACATGCCTCTCTCCGCCCTCCCAGTGTTGGGCCCCAGACACTTTGGCTCCCTTACTCTGCCCTGGTCTCCGTCCTCTCCGCCTCATATTAGCAAATGCTGAAGATGCAGCCACTGCACTTTTAGGAAAGCATGAGCCACGTTTGGACCCTGACACCAAAGCACCTGGGTTTGAACCAGCTGGGCTTCCCCGGTGGCTCAGATGGTAAAGAACTCACCTGCAATGCAGGACACCCAGGTTCGATCCCTGGGTTGGGACAATCCCCTGGAGAAGGGAATGGCTACCCACTCCAGTTATTTTTGCCTGGAGAATCTCATGGACAGAGGAGCCTGGTGGGCTACATACAGTCCATGGGGTTGCAAAGAGTCGGACAGGACTGAGCGACTAACACTTTCAGCTTTTCTGTTTGGGGGCATACTGCTTAGCTTCTCTGGGTCTCAGTTTTCTCATCTGGAAAATAGGGATAGTGAAATGACCTTGTAAGGCTATCATGGGGATTAAGTGCATTTACATAGATAAAGTGCTTAGAACAGTACTTAGCATGTGCTAAGAATTATAGGAGCAATTTAAAGATTAACTTTTTATTGTGGAGTAGTTTTAGACTTATAGACAAGTTTCAAAGAGAGTACACGGAGTTCCCTGGTACTCCTCACCCAGTGTCCTCTATCCTTCACATCTTAAGTCACCATGAATCTATCAAAAGTAAGAACCAACATGATCACATCATTATTAAACAAACCTAACACTTTATTCGGATTTGTCGGGTTTTCCTGATGATCTTTTCCTGCTCAGGCTTCTATCCGAGAGACCACATTGCTATCTGTTGTCTTGTCTCCTTGGTCCCCTCTGACTGTGACACTTTCTCAGATTTCCTTGTTTTGGATGACCGTGACAGTATCAGGGTGCTGGTCAGGTGTTTTATAGCAAGCCGTTGATCTGGGTTTATGCAGATGAGATGGATTTGGGGGAAGAAGACCACAGAGGTGGGGGCTTCCTCGTCACATCCTATCAGGGGGTACATGCTAGCCACTCAGTACCACCCATGATGTTGACCTTCCTCCCTTGGTTAAGGTCGGGTGTGTTGGGCTTCTCCAGCCGTGCTCTGGATCATGAGCTCTAAGTTCAGCCTGTACTCTGCGGGATGGGGTGAGGGTAGCGGCAGGGGGAGGGAGATTAAACTCCACTTCTCCTGGAGAGGGGAACAGACACTATTCGGAATTCTTCTGTACGGAATGTCTTCTCCTTTTGTTTATTTATTCAATCATTTATTTATACTAGTATGGACTCTTGTATATTTGGGTTGTAATCCAGTACCACACTATTTATTTTATTACTCAAAATTTTCCAGTGTTGGCCACTGAGAGCTCCTTCAGTTGGCTCCTGTGTCCCTTCAGCGTGTCCTCATCCACTTATTTATTGTTTTAGTACTTCCTTACTTTCTGGCACTAAAAGATTCCCCAGTCCTAGAATCAGCCATTTCTCTGAGAAGCTCCAGTCCTTGTATTGGAGAATGGGATTCAGAAACCAGGCTCTAGGCACATATGGCTTCCCTGATAGCTCAGTTGGTAAAGAATCCGCCTGCAATGCAGGAGACCCCGGTTTGATTCCTGGGTCAGGAAGATCCCCTGGAGAAGGGATAGGCTACCCACTCCAATATTCTGGAAAATCCCATGGACTCTGTATTCCATGGGGTCCCAAAGAGTTGGACACGACTGAGTGACTTTCACTTTCACTTTTTCAGGAGCATGTGTGTTGTTGTTGTTGCTTCGGGGGTTGGTCCGCTGGTTTCTCCCTTCCCCAAACCCTACTACCGAGCACCACTGTCATTGTACGGCTCCCAGCTAGGACGCTCCGTCTCCCCGTCTTTGCGGGAAGATTGCTGGTCTCTGTCATTAACGCCTCGCCTCTGTTCCAGGGAAGGTTTTGGGAGGGAAACGCCTAGCTCTGGAGCCAGAGTCGGCCAGTGCTGGGAGCAGCCTCTCCAGGTAAAGAACATTTATCAACAAGCAAATAGTTGGCAAGCCTCAGAGTGCAACCCGGGACAGGAGGGGATCTGGCCGCACCCAGAGCCACCTCCCGCTCCTGGGCGGTAGGTGTCCGAGGCAGCTCCTCGGGAACATCGCGTGCCCATGTCCCAGGGGCGGGGTCTCTCCTTCCAGAGCCGGCGCCCAGCTGCAACTGGTTTTCCCCACTCAGTTCCTCCCTTGTGGCCACAGCCCTGATCCCACCCGGGGGAGAGACTCCACGGTACCCGCCCAAAGCGGTTTCTTCCCTCTGGGCCTTCGGTGTCCTCCCCACCCTCATCCCACCCCCAGCCTGGGCTGCCCTTCGTCCACCCCGCACCTGCAAAGCTCGGCCAC